CCTCAGAAGTTTCAATTGGTACACAATGCTGCAGCCAGAGTTTTGACTAAAGTGGGTCATACGGATAATCTAACTCCATTCTTGTTCCATCTACACTGGCTTCCAGTTTGCTTCCAGGCTCAGTTAAAGGGGTTGGCATTTACCTTTAAAGCTCTGTATAGCTTCGGGCCAACATACCTTATGGACTGCCTCCACTGATATGAACCTATCTGTACACCCTGGTCAACTTCAGAGGGCTGGTTTTGGTTGCTCCTGCCATCTGAAGCTCGGAGGGTGGCAACCCAAGAAATGGCCTTCTTTGTTGTGGCACCAGAATTTGCAACTCCTTCCCCAGGGAGATTTCATCTGTCTCCTCTCAGTGTCTTTTGCTACCACATGAAGACTCTTTTCTTTTGTCTGACATATGTTCAATAACAGTTACTGGCCTTCCTTCTAGTGTTCTTTATATGTTTTAATTGAATTATTTTATATTTTTAACTTTATTTTAAGTGCTCAAATATTTTAGTGTTTGATGCCTTGGGAACCCTAATCAGGTTCTAAACTAAAGTCTAAGGCTGATTTCGCACCAGAAGCTGTGCCGCCGTCGCGCCTACGTTTGCCCCGTTTCCATTGGTCAATTTCCCACTCAAAGCCACGTGGCCGCATTTTGACCCATGGCGTTGCCTGATTTTCCCCAACGGCTTCGTGATCCTCGAAAAACAGGATCACAAAGCCGCGGGGAAAATCGGGCAAAGCCACGGGTCAAAATGCGGCCACGCGGCTTCGAGTGGGAAATTGAACAATGGAAACAGGGCAAATGTAGGCGCGATGGTGGCACAGCTCCTTGTGCAAAATCAGCCTAAGCCTCTTTTTTTGTGCCAGAAAGGAGGTTTATTGAATATGAAGCAACCAAAGATGAATCTACAGAACAAAGTTTGAGTCCAGTGCCACCTTTAAGACCAACAAAATTTTATTCAAGGTATATATCTGAACAGTGGACAGCCACCAGCATCCTGTGTCAAATGGAGCCTTTGAAAAACCAGAAAGATAGCATTGCACATACCAAAATGTCTCAATATTTGCTAAACAGTTACGCCAGATGCATAGCTATTGTAAGCAGAGGTGGTTTGTATATTAAATTAAAGGAAGGAAATCTCTTTATTTCCAGGTGCCCGTTCCTATTATATCAATTGAAATTTCTTCAAAAAGGGTGAGTACATAGAAGACCTGGGTCTAATAATGGATGTCATTAAAAGTGCAGTTGCCTCTGAATCTTCTCTACAGAAAAATTCACTGAATTTGGAAAGCCCTACTCTGAGAAAACATCTATAGAAAGTGTGAAGAAAGCTACCGGAATGTACACAAGACCAGTAGAACATGTAAAGCATACTTTATATGTACCCAAGGCCTAATACTCATTTCAATCTGTGTCTGTACTGTTCTTCTGTGTAAAAAAGTTTGTCTGCTCATAGAAAATGAGCATCTAAGGGACCAGGGTTCTAGGTTAGCCTTTTCTGTAACATGCTGGCTTGCTGCTTGCAGGGTTTTTTAATATATAGATTAACATTTCAGGATAGGAGAAATGCAATCTCACACCCGCCATAGTCTTAAATAGGGGTGTGCATTTGGCATAAAATGAGCTGAATAAATACCCCCAAAATACCTTATTGGTATTTATCAGGTATATAGCTGACCCTGAAAAAGCCGGTTTTATTCAGCTTCAATTTGGGTGCTTTCAGCTGTACTGAAACCGAGCTGCCAGTCATTTCAGCACTGAGTTTCACTTCCCCTGCTCCAGAGCAGGGGAGAGTAAAATGGAGGGGTTTAATGGCTTCCTCCCGTTTAAACCAATCAGCTGCAGAGCCACTGTGCTATTTGGTTTAAATGGGAGGAAGCCATTTCAGTGCTCCCTTTTGATCCCCTCTGCCCTGGAGGGGGGGAGAAAACGTAGAGGTTTAATGGCTTCTTGTCATGTAAAGGGAGCTTTACAAAGCTGTGCCGTATGCCATTGAACTCTAAGTGGCGAGCAAGCTCACATGGAAGTGAGTGAGCTCACCAGTAGCTGGGAGTTCACTGGGATGCAACTTGGCTTTTGAGTATCCATTATACACTATGGGGAAGCTCCCCATCTTTCCTTATATATAATTGAGTAGTGGGGTGGCACTTTCTGAACATTCCACATGCTCCTAAATCAGTTGGCTTCATGATGTGTCACTCAGAAGCTGTCCCTATCCACTGATTGAGTTGCCTGAGTCCCGTCCACAATGTGCTCCATTAGCCATTGGCCTGTCAGCCACCACTCAAGAGTACTCGCATGCCATTAGCTGGGTGCTGGGTCTGCTTCTCTTCCCTGCCCACTCCAGCCACTGTTCCCTGTCAGAATACGCTCTCTCTCCTGAAGAAGACACTTCGCCTGCTTGGCTTCTCTGTGGGACTAACTTTTCCCTCAGTGGCTGTTGGTAGGCAACCAAGCTTGGTTCTGTCACTAAAAAGACAAAGAAATGAAGCCCTTTCCAGGCCTTTCTGAGGAACTCATTGGGGCCAGTCCTGACTAGGGTTGCCAGCTCCAGGTTAGGAAATTCCTGCTGAGTCCTTCCGCCGCCCCCCAACGCTACCCTCCACAGGATCCACCCCCAAATCTCCAGGTATTTCCCTACTCAGAGCTGGGAACTCTACTTTCCCCTGAGTGCCTGTTGCTAGGCAACCAAGCTTGGTTCTGTCAGTAAAAGGCCCTTTCCACACCTATTTTGGCCTTTGGTAGAAAACTCATTGGGGCCAGTCCTGCCTAGAGTTGCCAGCTCCATGTAGGGAGATTCTGTGTCTAAGGAAGCCAGAGTCTGGGGAGGGGAGAGGCCTCAGCTGAACAGAATGCTATAGAGGCCACCATCCAAAGCAGTTAATTTTCTCCAGGGGGAGAGAGAAATTGTCTGGAGTTCAGTCATGATATCTGGCGATCTTCAGGCTCCACCTGGATGTTGGCTACCCTAGGAATAGCAGTCAGTGCTTCAGAGCAGGGTCTGCTGGACCCAGGTTCTTGCTGCGGAAGCTGACAGAGTGATTTTGGACCAGTCAAAGACTTTCAGCCTAACTTACCTCACAGGGTTGTTGTGCAAGTCAAAAGGGGGAGAAGAGAATGATGTAAGCTGCTTTAGTCCCCATTGCAGAGAAAGACTACTTTTCCTCCTGGGGAACCATTGTTGCCAACTATTGTTCTGGAGATAACTCAGAATTACAACTGCTCTCTAGGAGGGGAGGAAGATGGAAAGCTGAAGTCAGAGGGGCAAATAAAAGTAGGATGATGGTTGGCTGGGGGGGAGATATGGTTGCCAACTCCAGGTTGGGAAATTCCTGGATATTTGAGGGGTGGAGCCTGGAGAGGGTGAGGTTTGTGGAGGGGTGGGACCTCATACAGGTACAATAAGAACATAAGAGACGCCAATGTTGGATCAGGACAAAGGCCCATCCAGTCCAACACTCTGTGTCACACAGTGGCCAGAAATACCAGTGCCATCAAGAGGTCCACCAGTGGGGCCAGGACATTAGAAGCCCTCCCACTGTTGACCTTCCAAGCACCAAGAAGACAGAGCATCACTTGCCCCAGAGCCCCTATCTATACCTTATGGCCACTGATGGACCTCTGCTCCATATGCTTATCTAATTCCCTTTTGAAGCCGTCCATGCTTGTAGCCACCACCACCTCCTGTAGCAGTGAATTCCATGTGTTAATCACTCTTTGGGTGAAGAAGTACTTCCTTTTATCCGTTCTAACCCGACCACTCAGAAATTTCATTGAGTGCCTACAAGTTCTTGTATTGTGAGAAAGGGAGAAAAGTACTTCTTTCTCTACCTGCTCTATCCCATGCATAATCTTATAAACCTCAATCATGTCTCCCCTCAGTCGTCGTTTCTCTAAGTGAAAGAGCCCTAAGCGCTTTAACCTTTCCTCATAGGGAAAGTGTTCCAACCCTTTTATCATTCGAGTTGCCCTTTTCTGCACTTTTTCTAAAGCTATAATATCCTTTTTAAGGTGTGGTGACCAGAACTGCACACAGTATTCCAAATGAGGTCGCGCCATTGATTTATATAGGAGCCTGGAGATCTCCCACAAATCACTGTGTCCCCCAGCCACAGCACATCATTTCCCCTACAGAAAATTTCCCAGCTATTACAACTGATCTCCAGATGACCAAGATCAGTTCTCCTGGAGACAACGGCTGCTTTGGGCAGTGGACTCTATGGCATTATACCCTGCTGAAGTCCCTCCGCACCCCAAACCCTACCCTCCCCAGGCTCTACCCCTCAAAACTACAGGTATTTCCCAACCCAGAATTGGTAACCCTGTAACTGGCTATGGAACCGCTTTCCAGACTCTTGGAATCCAGAAGACATGGCATAAGAGGAGGTGCTTTTCTACCTTAGCTGTCACTGCATAGCCCCAAATCAACATAAGTCAGGGGTGGATGGAACCATACCTGTTACCATGAGGCTGTCCTCCCATACTACCCACTTGGGGCAGCAAAATGACTTGAGACAGCCCTGCCTTATAGCTAAGCAGAAGGAAATAAACATGGCTTGCCTCCCTCTATTTTCCCCTTCCCTCTGCCGCCCCACTAGCCACAGCCGGAACACTCACCTGGAGCTTCCTTCTAGAGCTCGTTGTATTTCTTCCCACAACGGGCCTTACTCCTAGTTAGAAATAAAACTAACAGAACCTGAAAGACAAGTATTACAACAATAAGATGCAACATTAGATTCTGGTGGTGTCTTCATACCACCCAAAAAGAGATTCCTGCCATGAATAGTGCTCACAGAGGCAATACTGGCAGACTAGATATCCTTGCCTCGTTATGGGCAACTGTGAAGACGGCTTGTTCTCTGGTCTCTTTTACTTTCTGAAGTTCCTTCTAAAGGGAAGGATGCATGTGTAGGTTGTGGACCTATGCCTAAAAATACAGGGGTTACTGATCTGTAAAGAACATGGAAGAGATATAGTTCTTGACAGGTCCAAACAGGGACCATGAAATGAAAATCACAGCCACTAATCATAGATTACAAAAACACCTATTAACCTTTAGGATTATTGGTTGTATTTATTTATTTATTTATCAGACTTTTACCCCGCCCTCCCGCCAAGGCAGCTCAGGGCGGTATACGTTTTGAATTGATGAGGACTGTACTGCAGGAGGTTCTTACACAAGCACATCCTTTCCTTATGTAAACTATGGATGACCTGTCTTCTCGAATCACATCGTAAGAGCACTGACCTTAATTTTTCCTGGGGGCTAGGCAAGGATGGTGTTGCTCTAGAGCATCACTATCACAAATAAAACCTAGATTCTCCCTTCTTCAGCAGCCCTCTATATTGATGGTCTGCCAGCTGGAGGAGGTAGCTCTAGCCCAATTATGATGATCTCTGGAGTAAAGGATGTCCCCGTTGCTTGTCTGTAAACCAAGGGGAATGATGGGGTAAATAGGAAATTATTCCTGAGCTGTGACTGTCACTATGAAGAGATGTAATTGGTGATGGAATGGATCATATGATGCATTAATAAGCTGCCACCAATCCTCCAATTCTGTCTCCCATATTCTTAAATTTGATTTCATAAGTTGTCTGATTTCCCTAGTGGAATGACAGATGAATTCCATTGTGGTAGCCAGGTTAATGATGTTGGCTTGAGCGCAAGCCAATGCAACTGAAACATTATGTTGTAGGGACTGGGCTCCCCTAGTAAGGAGAGAGAAGTCCTTTTCTATGAGTTTTTCCCAGGTTATTAGAATGGACCTGATTGAATGCTGAGAATCTGATAAGGAAGTGAGAGATTGGCTGATGGGATCACCCAGCGTAGATACATCTGCAGTGGCACAGGACAGTTTATTAGCCAGGATCTCAATATTTGTGGCATCTGTAAGGGAGATGCCAGTATCGACTGGTGCTATCCAGTCTAATAAATCACACTTTGCTCATGTAGAATGATTGGTGCCCTGCCATAGCTTGATCCATTCCTCCCAGCCTCTATTGCTGAGGAGCAGATAAGGGGCACATTCTGGAAGTCTGAGTGAGCTGGTGATTCCCATCAGACTTATGCAAACTTCTCTCATGGACACCTGTACCTTTTCCTGAATATAATGTTCATTTTGAGTATATTTTCCCATCTTTCCAAATCAAAGCATAGACTAGCAATCAACTTGTTAAAGTTTAGCTTAATATTTCTAGGAATCAATATTCTAAGATAAGCAATGACATCTGGACACCACCAAAGATGTCCATCAGCAAATACACTCCATGGTGTATTCTTTTCCAATGGCATCAACTCAGATTTTATCCAATTAATCAAGTAGCCAGACAAGTTGGATATCAGTTGAAAGTCTGAGAGGATGTCAGGCCCCACCTGGAGGTTGGCAAATCTACCTCTAATACAGCTTGATATCCATGGTTGCCATCAGGAGAGGTATCCAAAATCTTAACAGCTGCATTACAGACAGAAATTCAACAGGTGATACTATCTATCACATACTGGAAAAAGTTTCTCCTGTTTAATTTCTGGCATGAAGCTTTTAAAGGCAAACATTTCAATCTTCACAAGATGCACTCTCACAAGATCAATCAGGCAGACTACCAAGGGTTCTTCTCTAGACAGAACAAATTATATGCATTGAGCAGCACCAAGAGTTGACAACCAGATTAAAAAAAAAAAATAGAACTGTGCGTTAGAATGAAAACTGCTTCAGTTTGAGAATACAAGACAAAGGTTGCCCCTCACAACCTATTTCCCTTCTCTCTGCCTTCCCCCAACACTTTTTTTTGGCAGCTACTTTTTCTTTCGCTTCAAAAGGAGTGAGCATGTCTCTATTTGAACAATAATATGGACTTGCTATTATTTTGCACCTTATTATCTCATATAAAATGAGTTTTCTTTAAATGATGTCTGGAATTTTAAAGATTGGTGCCCATTTTAAAGATTGGTGCCTATTTGTTGTCTGGAAACCCTGTGAAATGTTCAGCTACATTCCCCCCCCATACTCATACATACTGACAAGTTAAAGCTTTCTTAAATGCTTTGGTCCATATTATCACCTGATTAATGAAAATTTCCTGATTAATGAGGAAAAAAGAAACTTCGTGACAAGCAATTGTTGATGCAACTCACTTGAGTTAGTGAATATGAAGATTTGGTATGAATGTGAATATAATTCCCATGAATATGAAGATTCAAGACAGACATAATATATTTTTGAGTTATTAAGTATAATATGCAAGTAGGGACCCAAGAAACCTCCAAGGAGGGGGCCTTCCCCCACCTTGGCTTCCTTCCCTCTTCCCCTTCTTCCCCTTTCTTTTTTTCTTTCTCTAAGCCAAACCCCCTTCTTTTTCTTTCCCTCCTGCCACCAAGCCAAGACCCCCTTTTTCTCTCCCCTGTGCCAATACCCCCTTCTTTCTCTTTCTCTCTCTTCCAACTCAATCCCCCTTCTTTCTCTTTCTCCCCCTCCCCTTTTCCCTATCTTTGAGCCCAACAGTGGCAGTGGTGCCTATGAACTGCTCCAAGCCTGGAGCAGCTCCCAGTGGTGACCAGGTCCAGAGTGACTTCCAGAATCTGCCACTGCCAGCCCTGGAGCCTCTCCTGGCATTCTGTACCACCAAAGCCGGGCCCGGAATGACTCCTGGCATTTTACACTGCTGTGGCCAGGCCTGGAGCAGCTCCTAGAGTTCCTCGCCACTATGGCTGGGCCCAGAGTGGCTCCACAAGAGCAGCAGCAGCCAGGCCCTCAAAGGTAAGTTGGGGAAAATTTAAACCCCCCAATATATTTTTTTTACCTTTTCAGATTTTTCTGCAAACCCAGGGGGTCACCGAAGTTAGCAGAAAAACCTGTTTGGGGTGAGTGTGCCTCCTATCTGTTTAGTTATGTATCCACAGAAAGGGGGCACTTTGGGGAATTAGATATATAGATGTTTCCAGGGTTCCATCACACTCTAATGTTGCTAAGAAATGGTAACCTCTGAGGGGATTATGCAAATGATGTACTGACAGGAGTCAGATCAAATCTCACTTCTGACACAAACTCACTAGGCAGACTTAGGCTAGACACCGTTTTTTCAGCCCCAGCAACATCACCTCTGCAGTGTGGCAGTCATGATCCTGATCTACCTCCTTTAGAGACCTTTCTTGAATTGGGAGAATCATTCCTTTCCCATCTCAAAACTAGCTCACAGCCTGTGCTAGGTGAGATCACTCATCTTCAGCACTGATCCTTTCAGCAGAATTACTTTGTTATGTCCTACAATGACATAGAACTTTAACGTGTGAGTGTGTGTGTTATATAAAACTGTAGAGTGAAGACAACTGCTTTCTTCTATTGAATTGATCATCTATATAGGCAAAGTGTGGGTTGCCAGACTCCAGGTGGAGCTTGGAGATCTCCTGGAATAGACTACAGAGAGCAGTTCCCCAGGAGAAAAATGGTTTCTTTGGTGGGTGGACACTATGGCATCATACCCCACTGAGGCCCCTCCCCTCCCTAAACCTTGCCCTCCCACAGGCACCAATCCCAAATCTCAAGTAATTTTTCAAAACAACAGTGGCAACCATACTTCTGGTAATCAGTGCATATAATAGTGCTGGATCCTTTGAGCGTACTAAAGTACAATGTTGGTCCTTTCCTTTCAGCAACAAATTTATGTTGGTTCTGAGTCAGCCATTGCCCAGCTGAAGTTCCATCAATGTGACATGTACGGAACAGCCTGTGCTGATTGCTGCCTGGCAAGGGATCCTTACTGTGCTTGGGATGGGATTACTTGTTCCAAATACTACCCCACAGGAACACAGACAAAGAGGTGAGAGCCACATCTGGCATTCGAAATCACGCAACAAATGAGTTCCCTAAAAATGATGTCTCTTCCAGACTCGGATGGTTCTGCTAAAGCCAGGTGTGCTATTTCCCCCATGTGTTTAAGCCTCATGACAAAATGAAATGAATAATGTATGTTTAAATGGGGGGAAATGACATTTTGATGACATCCATTGATTCACTTGAAGTGATGTAGGTATTGAAACTCTGTGATTCTATTATTTATTTATCATATGGCAGAATTACATACAGCAAGCATGATTGTCTCCATGTTTGTACTGTAGTCAGGACGTCTTAACGACTGTCTGCCAGCCGAAAAGTTCTAGCTCTTTAGCATTATCCAGGGTGCACCATGAGGAAGCAGAGTAGAATTACTCTGTGGTGATCTGACTGTAGAAGAAAGGAGATCATACATTGGGAGCAAGTATAAGGTCTCAGAGCATGCCCTTCACCTACCTTCAAACCTAAAGTGACAGATGCCTCAGTGAATCACGCACTAGCTGAAGAGGTCCCATTGTGTCCCACCCAGCTGGCTCTCTGATGTCCTTCTTGTGTCCATGACTTCTCCTCTGCTTCTTCTCTTCCTATGGCTGGTGAAAGTACAGGGTGCATAGTTATCTTTCCCCAGAGGTTGAGGCAGCTGTTAATGGCTGAGCCAGCAGGCAGGAGCAAGACTGACATGGCTGGCCTTCAGCTCTGGCACTTATGAAGGTGAACTTCAAGCACATCTGAGCTTTCTTCTGCTTTCAGCCCAAGATGCATTCAAAGAGAAGATCTGGTTGTGAGTCACTATGGCACACTGACTAGAGTGGAAGTGTTGGAGTACCAGCTTCAAACCCCACTGAGCTACTAAATGTACTGCAAAATGCCTTGAGAAAGTTGGCTTTTCAGCCTAGCCTGCATCATAAGATTGTTATGAAGAGAAAGGTTTGCTCTGCTCCTTGGGAAAAGGGCAGGTTTCATAAGCAGGAAGCACAAACACAGAGGATTTTGGGAGCATTGCCCAAAGAGGGAACCATTTATAATTGGCCTTTTGCATTACTTATTCCTCACTATTGCCCCTGAAGAGAGTTGCTTTCAATGACAAGGTGGCAGGCCTCATTCTAATGGCACGTGCACTGTGAGCCCTGAATTCCATTACAGTCATATAAACCTACATGTGGCTTTGCTGGATCCATCCATCTGATGCAGCCCTTGATCTCCAACACTGATCTGCCAAATGCCCTTGGGAACCTCACAAGCAGGGTACAGTAGAGTAGGCCTAGTTAAATTGATTTTTCCAAATGCATAGAGTGTGTTTCTTTTTTCCAGCAATGTTTGTTGCTTGCTTGCTTCATTTACACCCCATCTTTCTCCCCAGTGGGAACCCAAAGCAGCTGACATCATTCTCCTGTCCTCCATTTTAACTTCACAACAACCCTGTGACATATGTTAGGCTAAGAGCATGTGACTGGGCCCAAGGTCACCCAGCAAGCTTCCTACACAACACTTTAACCACTACACCACACTGGCTGTCTTTCCAGCTGACTAGAAAGAATTAGAAGTAGGCTGTTATTAAAATAGCGTAGGCCATGGTCACACGGGAGGTTTTGGGCTGGAAGAGAGACGGATCGGGGGTGCAGCAAATGGGCGCGAGCACACTGCAACATATGGGAATCAGCATGCACCCGTCCCCAATCTGTCCCTTCCGCCCTAAAACCTGCTGCAAAAAAAAACCCAAGTAAAAGGTAGCACCAACCTGGAACGGCGCAGCAAGTGTGGCCGTGAGATCGCCGGCACGCCCGTCTGCAGGAGCAATCGAGGCTCCCAGCCAAACTGTGCACGTGCACACATGTGCAGTTCTGCTGCCTCGCTCTCCCTGCAGTGGCTTCCCCCCGGCATCTGATCGTGCCGGGGAGCAACTGCGTGGCGGCTTAGGGGATCTATCTGATCCCGCCACCGCGTGTCTCTTTTGGTGCGGCTTTAAAAAGCCCCACTTCCGCCGTTCTTATTTTCCATTGTGTGGCAGGGGCCATAATATACCTTCCATATAGTCATGACAGGGTCTAGAATTTTGCACTGAAATGCTATATATTTATCAATAAAACCATCCCTTTTCCTGCTAATTAATCATACCCAGAGCATTTGTAAACTATGATGCCAGTCAGATTCCAAGTTTGGATTTTTGAACAATTAAGGGTTTTATGCAGAGGCAGGGATGAGGACGGATGAATAGGGTGTTTCGGTGTGCTTTTTATACATGCCTATAGAAAAGAAGAAATTGATCCAAGGCCAAATTGCAAGGCAATAAACTAGGAATGATAGAGATCATGCCTTAGATTAATCCTGCCTGCTGCCGCTTCTGCAGAAATAGTTCAGTTAAGAAGAGCCAGTTCGGTTGGAGTGCCAGACTAGGACTGGGGAGACCTGGTTTATGTCGCTGTTCTGCAGTGATGCTCACTTGGGCCAGAATTGCTGCTCAGTCCCTACTCCCTACTTCATGGGCCTTTCTGGAGGAAGGGAGATATTATTATTTTTTTAATGAACGAGGCAGTTCTACAAAGCAAATGTGGTCAGGGTTATCAGAAACTCTCATTTGATGAGAAGAAGGCTACCTCTATCCCCATACCTCTATATTTAGGCAATAGAGGGTCCCTGCCACACGGCAGAAAAAAACACGGGCAAAGTGCGGCTAATCAGAGCCGCACCAAAAGAAACACATGGCAGCGGGATCACACAGATCCCCTGAGCCGCTGCGCTGTTGCTCCCCGACATGATTAGATGCCGGGGAGGAAGCCACCAACCGGGGACCGAGGCAGCCGGCTGCGCATGCGTGCACATGCACAGTTCGGCCAGGAGCCTTGGATGCGCCGGCAGAAGGACACGCTGGCAATCCCACGGCCGCGCTTGCCGCAGCCTTTCTGGTAAGTCCACCTCTAGGGGTGGTTCTTGTTTGCAGCTGGTTTTTGGCCTGAAGGGCCAGATCGGGGACGGGTGCGTGCCGCTTCCCAGATGTTGTGGTGAGATCGCGCCCGTTTGCTGCGCCCCCGATCCGTCCCTCTCCCGGCCCAAAACCTTCCGTGTGACCAGGGCCGAAGTTGTCTTATTTCAGTTGGAATCTTGCCCTATAGCATATCTAGCATCAGAATTACTAGGACATGATAGAAAGTCCTTGTGGCCACCACAAGGCATTTGTATTTGCCAGTGTAATTCGAGTTCTGTGCCTCCCAGACACATTCTAATTACATTTGTAACATGTAGGGAGAAGTGGCCCTCCCCCGGTGTCATTTTCCTGTTCTGAAATGGCCCTGGGGAGTTGCTGTTTGCTCTGTTGGGGGAACGTGTGTGAAAAATAGCAAAAAAGAGAGACCTCTGCAAGAAACTACAAAAGGTACTGAGTACCAGAGGTCACAAAACCAAAGGGGAAAAGCAATTGTCCTTGATTGTGTAAAAAAAGCAATATATACAGTGTGAACAATCCGTATATACAGGGCAAACGATCCCAGTAAAGTGTAACAATCACTAAATGTCCCAATAATACAGACATTGTAAACAATCCCAGGGAAATACAACAGTTTCTGAATCAGTAAAGTATAACAGTTTCTGACTGCCCTGATAACAAATGACTTTAACAAATGAATTGATGGTCTCCCAGCTAATTAAGACACTGTTTCAGTATCTTCTTCAGGACTCAGATCTTTAAGAGGCAGAAACCAAATGGAAAAGCATCTCATATTACACTGGGCCTGCGATCACACGCTCCTTTAGATCTGACATAGGTGCGAATGCCTGACGGATCCAAAGGGAGTGATCAGACAGCAACATCTGGGAAGCGTCCTGCAGTCATCAGCAACCCGTGCTGCTTCGCCATGGAAGTGGAGTTAAAACACACCGGGGAATGTCCGATAGTAAATGGGTTGCTACGGGCCACGGAAGGACTTTCCCCTGTCTGATCACTTAAGCACGCTCTCATGCCATCAGGATGGTCTGATCAGGCCATCCCGACTCTGTGCCATTGTTTTTTTCTCTCTTCACAGTATGCACATCATCGCATACTCCATAGGGGGCCCTCAGTGTGGAGGTGCGAATCCTCATTTATGCGCAAAGGAAACAAACGGCAAAATAAAAGCCGCACCTGCAGTTGTGTTTGATCACAAAACTTTGAAGCTGCGGGCTTCAAAGGGATGTGTGATCTCACAAGTGCATGTCAAATTCCTTCAAAGGAAATAGCCTCGCTTCCCCTCCGCTTCAACTGGCATGTGTGACCGCAGCCAAAGACAGTTAAATCCAAATGATCAAAATGATCAAAACGAACAAAAATTTGAGAACACGTGGTCAAGGTTTTATAAGTGGATGGAAGTACACAATAAATAAACCATATGGACATACAACCGAATCAGAATGTGAACTATATTTGTCGTTACGAACAAAGTTTTATTCAAATTTACATGGTGTGGAAAAATTAAGAAGCAAAATATATAATTAGATATTGTATGAGGTAATTTAACAGAAAAAATAACATGCTAAATGTAATCTTTAATTTATATGGATGTATGTTTGTTTGTTTTTGTTGGTCTTGTATAAAACATAAACAACTCAAACAGATAAGCAGTAGGAAAAATGATTTATGGTGAGAACGTGTTTCACGTGCCGTGCCCCATATGGACCTGAGTGAAACTGTTCATCTGAGCTGCATGGGCACAGTTCACATCCATTTCACTATTAGCAACTCACAGAGTTGTTTCAGCATGTCAAATAGTACAGGGAGAAGAATGAAGCTGCTTTTCCCCATACACCAGCATCATGATCAGAATCAGGCTTGCATGCATCTGGGAGACAGAGAACTGCCGTTAGACATCTGATACAAAGCCCTCATGTTGGCCTCAGGGACTTTGTATCATGTGATTCAGACTTTAATCCACCCCTGTGTTACCAGGGCTTGGGTAGACCAAATCCTCTGAGCAGATGTATTTCTGAGTTTTCGTGTGAATATCGTGGCTCTGGCTCCAACATCAGCACTAACTTAATGACTAACAGCCTGGCAAGAACCCGGATTATGGTGGTAGTTGACCACCTGGATGTTGAGAGAAGGCTGCCATCTTTTATTAATATTTATGTTCCTTAAAACCTAAATTTTATTTTCTGTGGTTTTAATCTAACTTCTGTGTTTTAACGTATCTTGTTGTTTTAATATTTATATATATTATGTAAGCTGCCCAGAGCCTGCCACAGCAGAGAGGGCAGGATACAAATAAAATAAAATAAAATAAATAAGAATAGCTGGACAGCTAGACTTTACTCCACATGGCCAGTGTTGCCATACAGATCTATAAAGCTACTGCCCTTCCTGTTACGTGTCCACAGGATATTGAATAGGGCCAACGTTTTAGCCAGAATGCCTCCTAGAAACGAAGGAAAGATTTGATTGGACTTTGTTTCAGCACAATATTGTGTTTAACTGTGGGAGGTGAACCATGCATTTTAAAAGCTCTTCTGTACTTGATGTCACATTCCCTGAACATCACTCAGACAAATCCTCCCAACAGAATACCTTCAGATTATTCATGTGCCTAAAGCAAACAGAGGCCCCGGTCACACGGGGGAAATTGACGCTGCCAAAGCGCGGCTTTTTAGAGCCACACCAAAAGAGACACGCAGCGGCAGGATCAGACAAACCCCCTGAGCCGCCGCGCCGTTGCTCCCCGGCACGATCAGGTGCCGGGGGGGGGGAACCACGGGAGGGAGAGCAAGGGAGTCGGCTGTGCATGTGTGCGCATGCATAGTTCGGCTGGGAACCTTGAATGCTCCTGAAGACAGGCATGCCAGCGATCCCATGGCTGCACTTGCTGCGGCGTTTCAGGTTGTACTACTATTTCCTAGGGGTTTTTTTAATGCGCGTTTTCGGCCTGAAGGGACGGATCGGGGACAGGTGCGCGCCGCTTCCCAGATGTTGTGGTGTGATCGCACCCATTTGCTGCACCCCCGAACTGTCTCTCTTGCGGGCCAAAACATCCCATGTGTCCGGGGCCAGAAATTGGCATTCACACATACAAGTGATTAAAAATATATATTGCCCCATATGGATCTGAGCAAATAAGAATTCTTCCCAGAGGTGTGTGCATTAATTGGGTTTTTGTTTTTATTGCCCAGTAGATGTTCATCTAATCATATAAAAATCCCGCTCATGTAGTAGCAACCTAGCAAGCCAAATAACAAGAACTCCAACACTTTTTCATGCCTCTGCTGCTTTCCACACTTCTTTGCCTGGGAAGAAAATGTACACTGACTAGTAGTTATCCTGAAATCAGGGAAGATATTTTTATTTAGTACTTAAGAAGGCGTGTGGAAGGTCTCCTCTGCTTTTTGCTTAAGTTAACTTGTCTGTTCTTCTCTGCAGAACAGGACCAGCTCAGGGTGGGTTACAGGATCGGCTGTGTGGCTTTCTCAAGAACTATACCTGGGAAGAGAGGGGGATTCTGATGCAAGAAAAATAATTTGCTGAATTTCTCCTGGGTACAGAGCTACATAAGGCAAAGCAACATTCTTTGGTTCAAGAAGTGGCAACCTTGTTTGTAATTCTGCTCTTTATTAGCATTTTTATTTAACAAAAAACAGAAGAAATATATATTGATCATAATTGCAAGGCTCACATGACCTGAATAAAAATATGGGGTCTGCTCATTCCAGGCCTCAGCTGTAAAAGTCTGTAGTTTAAGATCACAAAAATATTGCCAGAACTGACTTCCACAGAATGTCATTGTTTTGGATGTAGTAACAGTAGGTTGTACCTTTGAGAACTCCACTTTAATTCAACTGTGTCTACTAATTAATATAAGGAGGCAGAGCTCTGGCATTAGCCCTGCAGCATTCAGGGCCAATCTTCTGCTCTGGTGTGAAGCTCCCTATTTCTCAACCTAACATACCTCACAGGGCAGGTGTGGAAATGGTGGAGTTCTACTGCAGCAATTAGTACATTATGAAAGATAATGAGACTAACATATCTCACAGAATTGTTGTAAGGATTACTGAGATAGGCATGGAATTTGTTGAAACTGTTTAAATAACTTTTAATACTAACCATGTTTAAACTGTTTAAATAACTTTTAATACTAACCATGTGCAAAGAAATGTAGCAGAAGAAAGCAAGGGGGACAAGGGCTAAGGTTATATACAAAGCTATTTACAGAAGCATAAGTTACAAAGATTTACAGAAGAACAAAGAAAAGTATTAAACCAACAAATTTCGATGATGGAAGTAGTAGAGGCAATTAAGAGACAGAATAGAGGGAAAGCCCCAGGACCAGATGGTCTGCCAATAGAATTTTACAGGATTTTCGAAGAACGGTTAGCTTTAATTTTTAAGGACATATGTAATTTGGAAAAAGAGCAAGGAACTATTCCAGAAACATGGAAAGAAGCTATAATATCATTAATACATAAATGTATTCCTTATTGCCAGGCCAGGCCCCCCATCAATCAGCTGACAGGCAGGGGAAATTACCAGGAAGTCCCAGGCGATGTCCAGGGGCAATGCTCTGGTATGTGGGGGGAAATTCTATGGTAGAAGCCATTTTTACCATAGAGTTTTTGCCCAAATACCAGAGCATTGCAGCAATGTCACAGGGTGATGATGTCACTTCTTGTGTACTCCAGGAGTGACATAGCCATGTTGCCAGTGCCTGGACCTCCCACTTCTGGTAAGTCCCCCCCATCCCCACTAGAAGGGACCTGGAAACCCTAATTCAGAATGTCTGTGAACTCTCCTGGTTCAGACAGTCACTCTCTTCCACACAGCTCCCTCCCCTCCCCAGCTCCTCTTCATCCTCCCTGCAGCCCAGAACTCCTCAGCTTCCCTCATGAACCAAAACTTACTTTTCAAATCCTCTCCCCTCATGTTCCAACAGAGCAACCAGTTTACACAGCTGCAAGAGTAGTCTATGATTTTCATGGGCAAAAAACTCAAGCGTGCCACACATATTTCAGGGTACCACCACAATGTCCTCATTGTCCATCTTCCTCTTCTAGCCCCTGGTTCCACACCACAGCCATGGAGTGGATATTTGACCTTTTGGCCTGTTAAGGAGCAAAAATTCAGGGAGGGGAGAAGCTCAAGCCCTGGTGATTTTACAGTGACATCTGGTGTCTTCAGCAGAGACTGCTGTGAGATAAATGCCAGTAAGCTGCACCCTTACTAGGCTTTGGCTCACTGGTGCAAGAAGCCCGATCGTGGAGATATATGGTGCCTTCAAGGCACAAGAATCTTCCCTTCACAATGCCATGTCAGCCCCCAGCTGCAGTCTGAAGAGGTAGGGCTCAGATGCAGGTTTACCCTTCAATGAGAACTCAGCCTAACTACCTGTTCATCTACTAAAATATGCCCTAATAGTGTAAAGAGGATACGGTGAATATATTCCTGTGTCATCTTAAAGCAAACAGAATCCACCAGATGTTTGTAATGTGTTTAGCATGGCAGTCTTGGGGGATGTAATCAGAGCAGTCATGTGGTACGGCTTTTGTTGGTCTATACAATTAGACTGCAGGTGGGAGATTTAAAGAAAAGCCCTGCATTTTAGCATATTAGAAAGAAGATGTCGGAAAAACCATGAGGTAGCCATTTCCCCAACAAGCTGTTTTTATAGGTGCCTTTAGACTTAATATGCATTCCCTCTCATGCCATCGTATAGTCCTGTCATCAGTTCCACGTATGAGTGTGCTGATTTTGGAGCTTGCTTTTGACTGACAAAATGTCACCTTACCATATCAACCCTTTTTCTTCAGCATGAACTCAGCAGCAGGTCCCAACACTAGCACCAGAGTAGGGTTGCCAAGTCCCCCATGGCCATTGGCAGGGGGGGGTTGGTAGGGTTGCCAGATCCAGGCTGGGAAACTCCTTCAGATTTGGGGGTGGAGCCTGGGGAGGACAGGGCCTAAGAAATCATGATTTTCTCAAGTTTCAGACTGGAAACGTAAGAACAGTCACATTTAAAAGTGTTTACTTATGCTGTGGGTAATTTCCCCCCCTATCTTTGGCACAGCTGCTGCCTCTTTAACCAAAATGTTTATAAAGAGAAAAGGTGTGTAGACAAACACAAAATGAAGGCAGAGCAACAGACAAATGACTGCACAAGAAACATTGGCAGAGAGAGAAATCAGCCCAGCATTTATCTGTACACTGTAGGCCAGCCATGCTCTCCATGTTCCAGTTTTAAATAGCTATATCCTGGCTCCTCAGCCAATTCACAATATGGATGAGAAAAATGGTAAAGGAGCCTTACTTAAGGATTTTGCAAAATAACAACAGCGGTCAGCTGCCCTTCATTGTTGCCTTGGATACTGAAGACAGATTTTATCAGGCACTGCTAAGAAGTTTTTGCCATTTTCCATCCAAACACCAATTATAGCAGAGAAACGATTTAAGTAATGTGATTCACTTCACACACTGGGGAAGACTTCTAAAGTTAGCTAAGAGCAAGCATGAGAATCTCTTCTCAAATTCTTTTTTTCCCCCTTCTCTAGACGTTTCCGCAGACAAGATGTCCGTCATGGAAATGCAGCTGAGCAGTGCTTTGGCCAGCAATATATTGGTAATTTTCATGCTTTAGTCAGTACATAGAGTTTGACAGCAGTGGCTTTCATCAGAAGCCACAACCACTTTCATGAAATCTCTGAACATTGTGTATTTCCTCCTGTCTAAAAAAGGTAAAGGTAAAGGTTTCCCTTGCTCAAACGTCAGTCGAATCCGACTCTAGGGGGTGGTGCTCATCTCCGTTTCCAAGCCGAAGAGCCAGTGCTGTCCGAAGACATTTCCGTGGTCATGTGGCTGGCATGACTAAACGCCAAGGCATACGGAACGCTGTATATTCCTGTCTGGTGTATTCTAAATACCTAAATGCTATTATTTCCTGATATGCTCCCACATACCAACTGTGCTAAGCAGACAGCCTTCTCTTGTGCCCTCCCTTAGAGCTGTCCATATAGCTGCATCCAAATCACAGGCTTCCTCTGTCATAGGCCCAGTCCTCTGGGATGGTTTACCAGGATTGATGCTGAGAGTTCCTTCATTTAGGAAGTTTGGAGTGGGTAGCTGTGCTAGTCTGTTCTAGTAGAACAAGTCCATTAGCACCTTGAAGTCCAACAAAATATGTAAAAGACGGTATCTGATGAAGTGAGCTTTGACCCATGAAAGCTGGTAAATGTTGGTCTTTAAGGGGCTACTGAACACAAACTTTGTTTTGCATTTATTAAAACAGTTCTGTGTCTTAATATGGGGGGAGGTAATTTCCCCCCACAAGACGGGACTATGTGCTTTTAGTCTGAGCACTGTACTTATTCTGTTAATGGACTTCTGTGTTTTGTGTCCTTGCAACATGTTGTGCTGTTAGCTACTTTTTATTTGTGGAAATAAAGAACAATATAAATATTTTGAACAAAGTAAATAAATAAATAGAAACCTGAAGATATGAGTTAAGCCACTATTTAGGCATATGTTTATGTCATTAAACAAGACTGTGTTATATCTTTTGCTCAGCATACCAAGAAAGAGTGCTTAGTTTGTAAAAGAGAAGGCAGCATCTCAGGCATAGAGGCTACGACTTGGGTACTCATGCCCTTTGGAAAAGTCCCTTGAGAAAGTAGGGAATTTGTCCCAGGCCCTCTTCTAGCACCCATGTGTATACCCCCACAGACCGGGGGGGGGGGAGCCAGATTAGGGGAGGCTCTAAGCCCATTGACTTCTATGGACTTAGAAGGGTGTAACTCTGCCAAGGAGTGCACCATTAGATACATGTTTAGGGATGGGCACAAACTGGGGAAATGGAGGTTCATCCCAGTTTGTGGTTTGTGAAGTCGCACGGACCTTCACAAACCTCCCCATTTATTGAATTGGTTTGGTTGCAAGGTTTGGGGGAAGATCTGCAATCTTCCCTCCCTCCTTTCTGCTGGAGGCAGCTCCCTGAAGCCCGAAGAATGAAAGGGGGGGAAGAGCTTGCAAAAGCCATGTACAGGGAATGCTCCCTTTAAATGGCTTTTGCAAGTTGGCACCACATGAGTGAAGTCCAAGTGATGAGTTCACCCGGAAGTGGTGAACTCACCGCTTGTATTTCATTTGCATGCAGAGCCTACTTGCAATAGCCATTTAAAGGGAATGCTTGGAGGTGGGGGAGAGCAAAATGGATAGCTGAAATGGCTTGCATCTTGCCCCCTCTTGTTCCCCACCACAAATCCCATGAACCTCCAAAAACCATGTGGAGGGTCGTGGGAGGGTTGTGGATAGGGGTAGGGAGAGCCAGTTTGGTGTAGTGGTTAAGTGCACGGAGTCTAATTTGGGAGAACTGGTTTTGATTCCCCACTCCTCCACTTGCACCTGCTGGTGTGACCTTGGGTCAGTCACAAGTTCTGGCACAACTGTTCGTGAAAAAGAGCAGTTTCTCTCTCAGCCCCACCTACCTCACAGGTTGTTTGTTGTGGGGAAGGGAATGGAAAGGAGTTTGTAAGCTGCTCTGAAACTCCTTCCAGTAGTGAAAGGCGGGGTATAAATCCAATCTCTTCTTCTTCTCCTCTAGGGATGGGCATGAACCTCAGCTTGCAAACCACAAACCAGCTATGTTTGTCACAAAATTAGGTTCATGAAAAGGTTCATGCCCATCCCTATACACGTTGTCTGATATATCTTACTGAGAGAGGTCACCATTTTTTTTTACTTTGTTAGATATCTTGCTAGAAAAAATAGCAGTTTCCTGCAGGCCAGATTAGAATTTATAAGGGAAGTACTTTTGTGATGTAAGGAAATTTTGTGCTGTTGTCTGAAAAGCTTGATGCTGAGCAATGGCAGAAGAATATAAAATGTATGTGTGGACTAAGGGTGTGCAAAAAAAATCTGTATTTTTCAGATTTGGGTTTATTGGACCTGAAAAATATCATTAAATACCAAATTTCCCAAATACCAATACCAGTATGGTATTTTTAAAAAAAACAACAACAGGTAAAATGCAAGAATCCTGAATTTTTTGGGTCCATTATACCCTAAGGGGACATTGAAGTCAATGGCAAATCAGTGGTATATTCAGTGCTCTGGAGTGGCTGTTTTTTGAGGTAGAGGCAACAAACTTTCTGCATACCAACTGGAGTCTCTCCTCAAAATAACCCCCAAGTTTCAATAGTATTGGACCAGGGGGTCCAATTCTATGGGCACCCAAAGAGGGTGTCCCCATCCTCCATTGTGTCCAATGTGGAAAAATAGTCAAGCAATACAAGCACTGCAGAATCTCTGCAGTACAGTGAAGTGTGGGGTGGGGTTGGGTGGAGGAACCTTTGGAACACCAGCAGCAGAACCAGTGCAATGTGCCCAGGAGAACCAGTGCCACTGTGGCCGTGCTAAAACCCAACAGGAGTAAGGTTAAACCAGAGAATCTCTGATCTAGAAACTCTGAACTATGTCACACCATAGAATCCAAGCAGGGCTTTAAAAAAAAAATTGCAGGAACAAGGGCTGTTGAAGCCCGGCAGCAGAACACCAAACCATCACTGACTCAGTGGAAGAGCCTTAGCCTAGGGGCTGCAGCTGCACTTCATCACAGGCTCTCCCTTTGCCACCTCCTACCCCAGCAACAAAGAATTTAAGTGTCATCATCAGTGTCACAGCAAGTCATCCGCATGGTGCTCCTGTGGGTTCTGCTGGTTTCAAATTCACACACTTCTATAACTCTACCCCTTTCATCTCCATCAAGATGAATCACAGTTTTTGTGGAGCTCTTTTAAATTCAGCCTACTTAGGGAGTGACTGGATCCCTATGCTAAAAAATTAAATAAAACTGTCAAATAGTTGAACAACTCCTAATAAGACACTTATCGTTAGAGGCCTATTTGGAAGCACCACCTACTCAAACAGTTCCCTTTAGTGGAAACCAATAGGACACATATAGAACAGTGACACGCCCCCTCCCAAACCCAAGAACTAGGCCTGAAGCCTTAGTCTAGGCCACAGGCCTCTCCCCCATCACCAGGCCCACCTAGGGTTACCAAGTGCCTACCACGAATCGGCGGGGGACACATGCTTTCCCGCTGGAACATTCCTGCCTGTAACACACCCATGTCGCACTATGCTGTCACCCAGACGTGACATCAGCACGCTAGGCATGTAGCCGGGCAACGCTCTGGCAATAGGGTTGAAAACCCGATGGTACCACTGAGTTTTCAGCCTCATTGCTAGAGCGTTGTCCGGCTACATGCCTACATCATGTCTGGGCAACAGTATAGTGCAGCGTGTGTGTTTTCCCCATGGGAATGTTCCCGCCAAGAACTATGTGTCCCCTGCCGATTCGCGGTAGGAACTTGGTAACCCTAGGCCCACCCCTAACAACAAGGCAGAAGCCACAGAACTCCAGACTCCAACTGCAACAGCCAGAAACCAAAAGGCTGCCTAATAGAACCAAACTATATGGAACCAAATAACTAGGCTTTCCCCTCCCCATCACCAGGCCCACTACCCAAAAACAGCAGGAAGAGAATTCAAACTCCAAATGCAAAAAACAAAAATCTAACCAAAAAGAACCAAACACTAGGCCTGATGCTACAGCCTAGGCCACAGGTCTCCCCACCCCATAACCCACCCACAAGGCCCAAAAAACAAGGAACAGTAAAAGAAGAAAACTTTTTAAAGTGGTATAAGTAAAACCCTTCACTGTCTTCTCCAGATTCTCAGGCAGCAGCAACTGAAGCAAAAAGCCAGGGAGGCAGGCAGGCAGCCACAGTCTCTCCAAGCCAACAACCCATCCAGCAAGATAGTTGTGGCCTTTTGAAACCAAGTTGCAGATTGCAAATGCACTCTGCAAACCGATGCTGTGCCATTTGCAAAAGCAAAAGCATTGCACTGATTGGCTCAAAGCTCCCCCAAAGGGGCTTTAGCCAATGGCCTTGCAGAGGTGCCTCTTCCCTCTCCCTCCTGTTACCATGGAAATCACAGCAAACAGTGGGGAAGAGAACAAATAAGGAAAGGTAGCCCTTTTAACTTTGTAGCTGCTATTAGATGCTATTAGAGAATCCCAAATAAAGCCAGATTTTGTCCTGCTTGATCAGGGACTCTCTAATCGGCTACACAAATAGCTTTTCTAAAGTGCCTTCGGCTTCACAAATACCAGATAAATGCCAGCAAGGCATTTATTCAGTGCTCTTTTCAGCTCAGGGAATCCGAATGCACACCCCTTGTGTGGACCTGTTGTCAGATGCCATGTATGGCAAAGCCAGGTCAGCATGGTGTGTTACAGGGAGGAATCTTCCGGCTGGGGAGCATGTGTCCCCCGCCAAATCGCGGTAAGTACTTGGGAACCCTATTTCCATGTAAGGTGCCACATGTTTTCTAGGGGCCGCAAAATCTCTTGGCAAGTTTTTTGCATTCTGCTGAGATCAGCAGATGTGCTCAAAACAACAACTTCATCTGTCAATGGTCATGGAAGCTTGTATCTAGCATGGGTGTTGCGGCTAAACTGATCATTTAAAGCTTAAAGAATCATAGAGATGACAGTGGACATCAGATTGAAGAATTAACTTTACAAGCTGGAACATTTCTGGCACCTTCTAGGTGGTGAGTGGGGAATCTCAAGGTGTCCCATAGGGTAAATATTTCTAAATTTTATTGCATAGAGTAGGGCAAAGGAATTAGCATAGATAAATCATTTTCAGTAGCAGCTCTGTGGCAAATACCGTATCGTAACTCACAGACCAGGCTTTGGATTAGAACCTCCAGAAACAGCTGAGATGCCTTATAGATCCCCCAGAAGGGCACTGCATTTTATTCCTTAACTTGGTATCTCCTGAGGTTAAGAATAAAAGCGTATTATTCTCAGGGCTCTGAGGCATTTCCTCTACTTCAAAAGAAAGGAAGGACAGCAATTTGCCTGGCAGGGTTTCAGTCAATTGATTTCTTTATACTGCAAATACACAACAGGACATGACAGATATTTGACAATGACATTTAAACATATCCTTCTCTAAGGCTGATACTTTTATTCCATTTACTTTGTTTTTCCTCTGGTATCTGATCACACCAAATGGCTGTTATTATTTTAAAAATACAAACCCCATCAAAGAGACCGTGTCACCCCTTGAGACAATACTTTCATGCCTAGCTGTTACCCACCCAATAAACCAATCAGGTTTGAAACTTTTGGCTCCAATCCAGTCCCTTTTGAGGAGCATCCCATTCCCCTATCTGTCTTAATGCTTTTTAGGTATAAAAATAGCTCCAGCCTGTGTGACACTGGGAATGTGAACTTGGAACAGAAATGTAAGCAACAAAGGCACTTTGCCACAGTGCAGGTACATAGATGACTATGATCTTGTTTCTGTTCCACTCTCACAACTGCTGCTTTTTCCTTCAAATCATCATGGACTTCATCCACCACATAGGCAGATGTGTACTTTACTCCCTCATTTCTTTATTTGCCTAGGCTAGAATTTATTAAGTTAGGATTTATAGACCATTGTTTATGTGTGTGTGTGCGTGCATGTGTGCGTGCACATGCATATGCATGTTCTTTGTGTTTTATATTCATCTCAGTAATTCCCTATACTATCAGTTTTCTTAATAAAAGCTTAAACCTCAAGTTTTGTTAGTTCTGGGGTCCTCCCCACTCTCATAAGAAGCACTGACTGAATCCAGGACCCTGGTATATCCTTGGCAGAAGGTCCCAGTAATAGTCACCAAGGATAAATGTGTACAGGTGAGCTTGACACACAAAAAGGGGATGTTTCTGTAGTCAGGATACTTTTGGATAATAATGTGTGCTTTAACCTAACAGCACAATACTGTGCCGAGTTCCTCCATTGACTTCACAGTGTAATCTTACACAGAGTTAACGTATTCATACTCTTTAATGAAGCACTATCGAGAATCACTGCAGTGGACTGAGACTGGAGGAGCCCTGCATAGGATTGTACTGTAAACAACTTAAGTTCCCTAAACTCTGACTTTCAGTAATGAAATACCCAAAGAAGTCAGGAAGGCACCATCATCATTGGATTTGAGGGGGAAAGTGCAGAGTAATTTTATTAACAGCCGCTCTCTGCTGATTTGTGCATACTCCTTGTTGAAGTTGACTTGTGTTCTGTGGTATGAAGAATTTTAAAACTTTTTAAAATCTAGTTTTTTTATTTGATTTGGGGTAAGCCACCTTGGCTCCTTCAAGGGAAAGAACAGATATAAGTATTTTAAATTTAATGAATTAAATAAATAAATAAAGTGCACCCCAAAAATGTTCTTAGAAATTCAGAAAGAATTGCTGAGCCCAGGTATTGTGTGTTTTCTTCTTTGTAGGAGACGCTCTGGATCAAACTGAAGAGCAAGTGGTGTATGGCATAGAGCACAACAGCACTCTGCTGGAATGTACTCCCAGGAGCTTGCAAGCAAAGGTGATCTGGTTTGTGCAGAGATCACATGAAGCCAGAAGAGAAGAGGTATATACTCACTCTGCTGGAGAGAGAGAAATTGTATTTGAGGGGATTCTTTCCTCTCCTTTAATCTTGGGTTCTACTCATCATCATGTTCATGTGGCAGCTGTCATAATGTCATTAAATCATAAGAAGCGACATTTTTAGACATTCTGTTCTATGTATTGCATTTCCTTTCTGGGACTTTCTGCATGTGTGTGCAAAGCACGCGCAGCACAATGATGTCACCCAGAAGTGACATCATCATGTCACTGATGTCGCTCTAATTTGTGAGCAAAATTCTATGGTTGGTAGCCAATTTCACCATAGAGTTTTGCCCAAAAACTAGAGCATTGTCTCACAATGCTGGCGATGTCACCCAGAATCACTTCTGGGTGACATCATCATGTTGACTTTCAGGCCAGTTGGGGTAGGATTTCTCCCCACCAGCAAACTGGCAGGCAGCAGGGAAGCACTCTGCAAAAGCAGGGATTCCCCCGCCCCCGGTGGGAGTTCCCCTGCCCCCGGCAGTGGTCTGGCAACCCTAAGTGAAAGTCATTCCAAAGCTCATATAGAGAGACATTGTTCTAAAAGCAAAAGTTACTCTAATGGGACAAGGCTGGGCAAGGAGCTAACAAGGTGTCCACTGCAAGCTTCATTGCATCTTCCTCTGTGACAAAGGCCAATGAATCATCCTCAACTAGACCTAGTCCTCAACCAGACCTCAATCAGACCTAGTTCGATTGTTAACATGGAGATTAAGCTGTGCCAATCCTGTGGATGGGGTTGTTCTGATATTGCAGTCTCAATGCTGACAGCCTCTAGGAAGGCCTCTGTTAACAAGTTTTGTAATTCTTGACTAGTCTTTCTGTCTTTGTGTACCTCTAAATCATTGGTTCTGAGTAATCTACAACAGAAGAGGTTTGGCAGTTTCTGAAGTCTGGCCTTGGAAAAGATAATGGGATGGATGAAGGACAATAAACTGAAGCTCAGTCTAAACAAGACTGAGGTGGTATTGGTCAGTGGAGAAGCTTTTTGAAAACTGCAGAATCAGCCGATTCTGGAGGGGGTTGCTTTCCCTATAAAGGGGCAGGTTCATAGCTTGAGGATTTGGTTGGATCCTGGCCTGTTGTTGGAGGGTCAGGTATCCTCTCTGGCATGAGCTTTAGCTGCTATACAGTTATGGCTGTTCCTCAAAAAGTGTGATCTGGCCACAGTGGTCCATGCTCTGATCACATCCAGATAACTGTAATGTGGTCTGAGGCGGACTTCCTTTGAAACAGTCCAGAAACTTCAATTGGTTCAAAACGTGGAGGGCAGGCTATTGTCAGGGGTGGGGTACAAGGATTATATTACCCCACAGCTGAAAGATCTGCACTGGCTATCCATCTGTTTCTGGACAAAATTCAGAGTGTTGGTTCTCAGCTTTATGGCCCTAAAACAACTTGGGACCACAGTACTTGTAGGACTACCTCGACCTGCATTGTCCAACCCACCAGTTAAGATCTCCCTCCCAAGCCCCTGTGTACCTGTCTTCAGAGCTGAAGCAAGTGGCAACTAGATACAGAAAATGTTTGGTTCCCGGCCTGTAAGGCTTACTTGGCTTACTTTATCACTTTCCTTAATTAGGGGGTTTAAATTTTGTAAAAGTTGTTTGGTGGCTTGCTTCAAGCCTAAGAACTATTTTCTTTCTTTCTTTTTTGGCATTTATTTTCATTTTTCACAGTATACAACCAAAAAGCTATCTTAAATATACATATATGAGTCTATAAGACGTACTCAACAGTTAACAGTTACCCAAGAATACACTTTAGACATTTTAACATCTTTTCCTTGTAATATCAATGTCAGCCTATCTATTTCTGCTCTTTCCAACAATTTACATATTAACTCTTCAATCGAGGTAAGAAAAGATGATTACCAGCATTTAGCCACCAAGATTCGTGCAGATGTTACAACATAGTTTAGTAGACAGACATCATTTGGATTTATCTTATTAGGAATTATATTTAACAAAAATATTTCTTGGGTTAATTCTAAATTTATTGATAACATATCAAGTATCAACTTTTGGACTTCCTTCCAAAATTTATAATTTTTTTTGCACCTCCACCACATATGATAAAAAGAGCCTATGTTGTTTTTACATCTCCAATAATTGTTGGAGGTGCCAGTAGCGCACTTGGCTATTCTATCTGGTTACTAGTACCACCTATAAAATAGTACAAGATATTTTCTTTATAAGAGGTCGCTTTCAAAAGTTTAACAGATTTCCATATTTTACCCCAATCATCAATTGGTATAACATGACCCACATCCTTCATCCATTTGATCATTACCACACTAACCTTATCGTCTTGCATGAAATCTTCCAACATAAAATTATATAGTTTTTGAATGGTTTTATCATTGGTTGACAACCAGAGCTTATCCAGGCTATTTTTAATTGTGTAAAAACCAATTACTTTATCTTTAATAAATCTAGAATTTAACTGAGAACTTTCCCACCATGTTAAATTGATATTAATATACTTTAGCGATTCTGAATCCTTAAGTCTATTGTTCTTATCAAGTAAGTCTTCATATGGTCGTTTTTTCTCCTCTGTTATTAAAGAGGGTAGGATGAAGGGTTCTAGCGGAGAAACCCATCTTGGGATTTTATCATAAAATCTGTCCTTTATATTCTTCCATACTTTAAGGATCCTCTCAACGTATGATGTTTAAAATTGGAGTGTATTTTATCCTTGTCATACCAAACGTAGGAATGTAGGCCCATGTATAAGTCATGACATTCCATCTTTAATCATCTTTGATTTTCCAGGGTTAGCCATTCTTTAATCCATGTAGCTGCTGCCGCCTGATAATAAAGCTGCCAATTTGGTAGACCCAGACCTCCTCTTTCTTTCTTCTCTTGCAATAGTTTCCATTTTATACGGGCTCTTTTGGTATACCAGGCAAAATATTTCACTATTTTATCGAAATCTGCAAAGCATTGAGTATTTTGCGCCAAGAATAAGAAACGAGGCAAAACATTCATCTTGACCGCTGTGATTCTGCCCATGAAGGATAACTGCATGTCTTTCCATCTATGGAGATCTTTCTTAACATCTTCCAACAGTTTTTGATAATTGTTTTCCTTTAACATGCTATTCTTGTTTGTCATAACTATGCCTAGGTACTTTGTCTTTTCTACCACCTGTATTTTCGTTTCGTGTTGTAGTTTCTCAATAATATCTTGGGAACAATTCTTTATAATTATTTTAGTTTTATGAATGTTTCTTTTAAATCCTGTTACTTCTCCAAATTTTGAAATTTCAGCAAGTAAAGAATTAATAGCAGACATTGGTTCTTCAAGAATAAATACCAGATCATCTGCGAAAGCCTGGAGTTTAAATTCTTCTTCTCGTACTTTTAACCCACATATATTTTTATTACTCCTAATTGATTCATTGAGAGATTCTGAAACAAAGATAAATAGCAATGGTGAGAGAGGACAGCCTCGTCTTGTGCCTTTTTATTCACAAAGGTTATTCTGGCGTATTGTTCACAATAAATAGCAGGAATCATTGTTAAAAAGTTGTCACCACAGTCCCATTTCTGAAAATTTTGTATTAGAAAGTCCCATGAGACGTTATCAAATGCTTTCTCCACGTCTAGAAACATCAAGGCTAGCTGTTTTTCAGGATGAGCTTCAAAGTATTCAATAACATTAATTATATTTCTTACATTGTTTTTGATTTGCCTCTTTGGAAGAAAGTCTGATCTTCATGTATAATGTGACACAAAATTCTTTCTAACCTTGAAGCTAAAATACTAGCATATAATTTATAATCTGCATTCAATAATGAGATCGGCCTATAGTTCTTGATCTCTTTTCCATCTGTCTCAGGTTTTAGGATTAATGTTATCAGTGCTTCATTCCAAGAATTTTGGGCTCTCTTTTCCTTAGTGATATTGTGCATCAGTTCTTTCAGAGGAAGTAACAGTTGCTCCTCGAACACTTGATAAACCTCTACAGGAAGTCTGTCCAGGCCTGATGTTTTCTTCTTTTTCAGTTTTTTCCAGAGCTACATGGGCAACCCATAATGACGTTCTCCATGCATCTCTTTGTGTCTGGGATAGACATAAGAAATGGTTGGTCCCAAAAATTTCTCTTTTCTCTTCCTTTCTGCATCAACCTTGGTTCCTTCCTGGTTCTCAGCAATCTTTCTACACACCTTGGAATAAAGCACAGACAGGGAGCCTTCTAGATATCTCTGACAAGCAGGGTATTCTAGATACATGAGAAATAGAAGAGAGGTTACATGACAAAATACACCAGTTTCAGTATCTACAACTGAAAAGTCTAGCAGATAGGCGCGTTCATACATGGCATGCTCGACCTCTCACTATGTTTGAAAAAATAATTAAAACATATACTACAACCACAAAGGGCCTAATTACTTTGCTTTGCATTATTGATATTCTTCCACTCTCTCTTCAGGTTTAGTCGTCTAAACGTAGGAGATGAGCAGTACAATTTCTAAGCACATTTGCTCAGAAGCAATTTAAAAAAACACACCTCTTACGGCTTCAAAAGGGAATTAGATAAGCATATGGAGCAGAGGTCCATCAGTGGCTATTAGCCACAAGGTATAGATAGGGGCTCTGGGGCAAGTGATGCTCTGTCTTCTTGGTGCTTGGGGGGGGTCAACAGTGGGAGAGCTTCTAATGTCTTGGCCCCACTGGTGGACCTCCTGATGGCACCTGGTATTTCTGGCCACTGTGTGACACAGAGTGTTGGACTGGATGGGCCATTGGCCTGATCCAACATTGTCGTCTCTAAAAAAACAAACAAAAAAACTTTGCTTAAACTATTGGCCAAGCATATTGTATGATTCTTGGTTAGCTTATGTTCTAGTTTAATTACTTAGTTTTTGTAGTTTTTTTATTTTTTGTAGTGTGGTTAGTGTTTGTAGAAGGAAAATAATTTTTTTAAAAAACAATTGCAGCTTTAATCATGTTCTTAAATCCTTTCCATTCAGTGGTACCAATTTTGGTTGTGTTATGCTTCAGAACATTTGAAATGACCATGTTCAAAAATTTTTAAACTCTACAAATGCTTCTGGATGTGTTTTCCAGAACTTTCCATAGTTATCCAAATAAATTGTGCAGTTGTCATTCCTTAAGCCTTGGGTTCCCAGGTTCTCCCACTCCTGCAGCCAGAAGGAAAAAAATAGTGTTGTTTTTTTAAAAAAAGCCATAGGCAATGGTAAGATGTCATTTCCAATTTTCTCACAGAAATGATGCTATGCCATTTTTCAACAGCACCCCTTGCTGGACTCCCAGCAGTTGCTATGCTATTTTAGACTGAATTCTGCACAGTCTGTCATTCAATTGTTGCTTTGATGCATATTTTAAAAACAAAAGTCATATAGAATCTGTTTTATCCTTATACAATTTTATACACTTTCTCAGGTGAAGATGGATGATAGACTACTCAAGGTGAAACTGGGTCTCTTGTTCTTAAGACTGCACAAAACAGATGCAGGGACATACTTCTGCCAAACAGTGGAACACAGCATTGTCCATACAATAAGAAAGACCACACTTGAAGTTGTGGAAGAAGACCGTGTAGATGACATGTTCAACAAAGACTATGAAGAGGATGTTTCTCATAAGATGCTATGCCCTGCACAGAGCAGCATCTCCCAGGGCTCTAGGCCATGGTACAAGGAATTTTTGCAGCTCATAGGTTACAGCAACTTCCAGAGAGTAGAGGAGTACTGTGAAAAAGTGTGGTGTACGGATAAGAAGAGGAGATGGCTGAAGATGTCTCCATCCAAATGGAAGTATGCTAACCCACGAGAGAAGAAGGCCCGCATCAAGCCTGAGCGTTATCGTGTCCCCAGGCATACTGCTGACTCTTGATGGGGAAGATGTTCACTCACTCATTCATTCATTCATTCATTCATTCATTCATTCATTCAAGACAGTACTCTTTTATTCTTTTTTTTTTCTTTTTGGACCCAAGGAAAGTGAAGGGAAATTAGTCTTGAATCTGATAATTAATATGAGATGTTGAGCCTGGAAATGGGAAAAAGTGTGTTTTGGTAAGTTATACACTGGTGTCTGTTTAGGTGTGTATGTGTGTGTTTTAATTCTGAGTAATGCTTACTCTTAAATATGCCCCATGGACTGCTTTCATTGAAGGAAAGCCTATCCACCTTCATTTTCACCACATTCAGGCCAGCCAGGAACAGGCTTGTGCTGTACATCTGAGTGTGCTGTGAGCATATGTCAGTGAACACAGATGCCAAAACATGGCAATCAGAGCATTCACGCACTGTATAGTTTCTTGTGTCTTTCACATCTTGTTTTTTTCATATGGCATGTCCTATGTGGACCTTGGAATTCATGCAGAAAATGTGAGAGCTCGTGGCAAAAATGATGATGAAGGATCATAAATCCTTGTTAAAAGTAATTTTGTACTTTGTAGAAGTAAAAGGAATTTGCCATATAGAAATGATATGCAAATTTAGGGGATGGGCCAGTTCTTTGCCACATCCTTCCCTCCCCATCTTGAGGCACTTCTTCACTTCTGCCACTCGATCCCATGTTAATTGGCCTTCATGTGAACTAAGTGTGCCTGTTTATGTGCACAGAACAAACTGCTTAAGAAATGTAGTACAAGTATATCCCATGATGTATTTCCTTAATGCCACAGTAACAAATTGCCATCCCTCCTTTATTACAACCATAATGAAATTAAATGCAGAACATATCTGCCTTTCACTTAACTGTTACCATTCAGCCCACTACCCCTCTTATTACAAGTCAAATGCATGCAAATGCATCCTTTTTCTGTTAAGAGATTGGAACAGGGGCTCTAGAAAGCCATTTTGTTGAACATCTGTAATCTAGATGCCCTCTTGTGGCATAATCTGCTCTATACAGTCTTTCAAACTTCAGCATATAAGAGGGTAGAGCTGCACAAAGCTACACAATGTTGTTCCTTGTTCGTTTTTGTGAGCATTGAAAATCACCTCTTGTTTGCCAGAATTTTCAGCACTAGTTGCAAAAATCACACTCCTGTTGTTTAAATATGTTCTCAGAGCCATATTCTTTTTACTTCTCTGCCTTCACTGCTCTTGGTTGCATTTGCCCTGCCTACTGATTAGTCTGACACAATCCTTTTCTCTAGGATAGTTGTGTTATTGTTAATAGTTTCTATCAACACAAGTGAACAGTGTTGTAAACACTGATTTTTTTCATTCATCTGCCAAACCATCCTGTGAAATGGGCCATTAATGCTGTCATTTGATGTGGGGTAGATGGGTGGGAGAGGGTGAGTGTGATTCTCCTGGAAGAACAGAGATTCAAACAAGGGTCTCCAGGATCTCTTTCTAACATTGGCTTAGATTTTTTTACTTGGTGGACTTGACACACTAGTATTAAAGGAGCCTTGTTTCAACAAGCCAACCAAGTCTAGCTGGTTCTGGTGTCATTCACCTCTGGCCAGATCAGCATCTGCAGAAGTTTAACACAGAGCTGTTTAGCACAAAAGATGGTGACTACTATAAGTAGGAGGAAGAGACTATCCTGAGACCCAGTGACTGGCACTCTTCATGGGAGAAGGTTTGCATGGTGACTAACAAGGTAATATGCATTTACTTCAGTAAAAGGTAATATGCATTTACTTCAGTAAAAGGGAGGTCAGTGTAGATGTCAATGATATTCCTGTCTAAAACCTGCTTCTCTTTGTATTGACTAATTAAATGTGACCTGAACTGTCAGATCTCTCCAAGTGGTGTTTTGTGTGTATCATTGTGGAACCATGAGATGATTGTGCTGTTGTAGTGAAAGGACAAATGAATTCTAGCAGAGGCCATATTCATTTCAGTTGGATTTCTTGAGGAGATGTTCACTGTGCTCCAGATAGAATCCTGAGAAGAGAGGGACAGCTGTCTGCTAATGCTAATGCTGGCAGAGGAAGGAGGGATCCAATGAGTCCCTCTGGCTTTCCTTTCTGCTCACAGAACAGCACTCAGGAGTGTTTGCAGAGTTTAAACATGCAGAGAAACAGAGCACCAACTGTTTAAAGAAAATAACTCAGTTTATTAAAGAAGAAATAAACTCTGATAGAACAGAGGGGAGAGAGAGTGGCTTAACTAACTAACTGCTGCGAGAGACAAGAACAAAGGGGAGCAGGAAGTCTCCCACAAGACAGAAAGGACATAATTTGAAATTATGGGAAGTCTCTAATCTAGCTATGCTAACCACAACAACAACAGATTTATTCACAGCAAAAAGCCAGCACTCTAATACAACAAACTAACTCAAACTAAATTCATACGACCACAAGCATAAATGAAATATATAAAATGAATATCAAATAGAGCAGGACTGTTAAGTCCTGTAACAATTACATCTATTTGTCTTTCACTAGGAGCTTTCTAGTCCTTACAGCCAACCAGCCAAATTTGACATGTTTAGCTGTAACCTTGGGGCACCTACTTTCTAGGAGGTTCTTCAGCAATTGCATCTTTTGACTAGTTGAGGATAGAGTAGTTGTAAAGAGTGGGAGAATATCACGAAACTAACTAAAAGTCCTTCAGCTGTCCCCTATAGGCTGTTCTTCTGATCCTCTTCAAGTAGGTGCACTATAGGCCTTGTATATTCCAACAGTGATGGTTGGGACAGCGGCAGTGCTGCACGTGACTGTGAGGCTTCACAGGCTTCCTCATCCCTTCCTTGCTCTGGGGCTGGGGAAAGCAGGAGACCACCTGAGACTCCCGCTGGCTGTGGGCCTGGATGGGGGTGCTCCAGATTCTATAAGGGGTGCCACCCTTAGTACGTCACTGCTGGCTATGGGTCTGCCAGTCAACCAGATTTCCTTTTTTGGCAGGACTAAACTTGAATCTAATCTTGCAAATCCAGCATGGAATTTTGCATGCCATGGAATCTGGCAAGATGTTAACAAATTATTATTATTATTATTATTATTATTATTATTATTATTATTATTATTATTATTATTATTATTATTATTATTATTATTATTATTATTATTATTTGCTTTTACATTCAGGCAGTGAAGAGAAGACCTGTAAAATCACTAGGGAAGTGTTAGGACTCATTAGGAGCTCAGGATTTAAGGCTAGCTGCAAGAAAGCTCAGTTAGTCAAAACTGAAGTAAAATACTTGGGTCTCTCCCTTTACACAGAAGGCAGAACCCCTGACATGCAGAGAGCGGAAGTAATCTCGAAACTCCATGCCCCCATGCTGGATCCTCTAAAACTGGCTTTGGAGCCATCTGAGTCTCAGACTTGCATGTTATGAAGGGTCCAGCCTGCCCTCTCCACAGCCAGAAAGCCAAGGTAGAAGCCCTCCACTCCACCTTGGAGTTTGAGCCCTTGGACATCCCTTTAGCTGTGTATACAGACTCAGACTGGACTGCAAAGGCAGCCACAGTTTGGCTTCCTGTTTGGATCGCCAACCATTGGAGAACATCTGAAGGGAAAGCTGTAGCCCATTTTGACAAATGGATACACATAGCAGAGCTTATGCAACGCAGGCAAGCCCCCATCTGGGTAACGCATGTAAAAGGTCATCAGAAGCCTGATACTGACACTAGCCTGTGGAACAATAGGGCAGACGCAATAGCCAAAGCTACTGCATTAGAGGATCCCTACCCAAACCTGGAAACCTACACAATAGGATATAAAATGTACAATTACCAGCCAATGGAACCCATAGTTACCTGTCAACCTACCTACCCGCCCCATTTAGACCTGGCAGTACTACAAAAGGAGAATCAGGAAATCACACAGCTAGCCACAGCTGCTGAGATCCCACTGAGCATTACAGAATCACACAGCAGGATGGAGTTTTCTGGGCAGTAGACAAGGAGAACCAATTGTGTTGGATAGTGCCTGTAGAAGTCGGGAGTGACCTCATTCAGTTTGTGCATGAGCAAGGGCACTGAGGCAAAGAACTAACTCTAGAAATAATTAAGGAAATGGGTTGGTGGCCTGGTTTGCATGTCAAAGTGAATCAATGGGTTGAAAAATGTCTTGCTTGCGCTATGGTAAATGCAGACTCTTCCGGAGCCAAATCTCCTATCCAACACCAGCATATAGAAGGTCCTTGGGCCAGAATCCAGATACACTTTATAGGTCCCCATCCACCCACTGCCAGAGGAAATAAATATTGTTTGACTGTAACTGATCCATTCGGCAAATGGGTAGAGACTTATAGGGATTGTACAGCACACACTGCTGCATTCATCTTGTTTAATAATGTTTGTAGATTCAGATTTGTGTTGTACATATTAGATTCCATGTCAAAAATGAAGTCAAATGAGGAGGAAGTTCTTGTATTTTATTGTAATGAAATATGGAAAACAGTTGGGCCAAAGGACCCATCAAAACTGATTGCTTTCTTCTCAGCGTAATCAGGAAACATGCCTCAATTAATAGGAAAACAATTAGACCAAATAGTTAACCAAAAATTGACAACTTTCTTCTTTTTCTTCTTCATCTTCTTCTTGAGCATATTCTGAACATATTCAGGAAATACATAAAGTTAAATACTTAAAATGACATCATCATACCATCATCATGGGAATAATATTCAAAAGGCATAATTGGTTACAAAAACTTAAACAATATTTACATAAAAATCTCCTTATTGGTCAAATGTAAGAAAGGTGTGTCTATGCAATAGCGTCACATATTTACTTGACATGACCTAAGGCATATCAGCTAAAGCTTGTTCTTCCCCAAACAAGAGTATTCATTACTGATACGAGACTAAAATCCTATCTGACCCAGACATTGAAAGGTTTGCCCTAAGAACTACAGAATCATGAACTTTGTACCTATTATGTTGTCTGCTAACAATATCAGACCTACAAGAGGAAAGCCTTC